GCATGCCTGTAGTCCCAGCTACTCTGGAGGCTGAGGCAGGAGGATCACTTGAGCCCTGGAGTTTGAGGTTGCTGTGAGCTAGGCTGACGCCACGGCACTCTAGTCCAGGCAACAGAGGGAGACTCTGTCTCGAAAAGAAGAAAAAAAAGGTCATTAGACATAAAAAGATGAAGAAACTGCTTGTCTGAAAAAAATTTTTTTTTTTTGTGAGATAGGGTCTCACTCTGTCACCCATGCTGGAGTGCATAGCTCACTGTAGCCTCTAATTCCTGGGCTCGAGCGATCCTCCTGCCCCAGCCTCCCAAGTAAATGGGACTACAGGCGTGCCCCACCACACCCAGCTAATTTTTTTTTTAACTCTTTGTAGAGACAGAGTCTCACTATGTTGCCCAGGCTGGTCTTGAACTCCTAGCCTCAAGTGATCCTCCCACTTCGGCCTCCTGGAGTGCTAGGGCCTGAATATTTCTTTATTCAATTCACACACATGTGATAGTTGGCTGGGTCATAAATTCAAAGTTGAAAATAGTTTTCTGGCAGGCAGTGCTCCCTTGTCTTCTAACTTTGAGTAATGCTGTTGAGAAATTCCATGCCAGTCTTATTCCTGATCTGTTTCTCTCAGAGGTTCCGAATGTCGCAACATGCTTTACCGTGTGTCATTATTTGCTGTGCTGTGCGTGGAGTGTGCATCCTTCAGTTCCAAGAAATTGCATCGCTGTTTCTTGGGTCATTTTCTCCCTCTGTTTCTCTGTTCTCTCTGGAACTCCAGTTAAACCCGGCATCTGATAAATGGTGCTTCCTGAGAGAACGGGACTGAGCCTCACTGTCTTCTCTCTTCTCATACTGTCTTTGTTCTATTTTCTGGGAGAGTTTTATTCTTTCAGCTCTTCTGAATTTTTAAAAAATTTTCTGTTATTTTAATTATCAACTCTTTGTTCTCTGTTCAGTCCTCACTTACGGTATGTTTCACAGATGCATTATCTTATCTAAGATTATCTTTTATATTTTTTCTTTACCACTGTTTCCCGAGTTTCTGTTTTTCATTTTTTTACCTCCCAGGTGGGTAACGTGGGCCGCAAAGAGCTTCCATGCCAGTGTGAAGGTACACTAGAAATAAACCACCCCCACTTTCCATCTGACCAGAACCACAGGGAAACGCCCGTCTCCAAGCGTAATGCTGGGTGAAGGAGGTGGAAAAGCTCTCCTGGGAATTTTTAGCCACAAGCCATCCCTGATTAAGTGTCTGCACCTGAATTGGCAATACGTGGGTAGTCCTAAAGACCCCTAGCTGGAATTTTAAAGTGGTGTAGGATGGTCTGTCATCAGGCAACTAACAAATACATTTCCTCTCTGAAGGAATTTACTTCTAATCCAACCTCAAAAAATTCCCATTGAGAAAATTCCAAGAAATATGAACTCACCACCAAAACAAACTGCAAGAAAGACATCATAAGACAGTACTTTGGGTGACCATTTCTATAGTTTGTTACTAGGGAAGTTTCTCTGAGCGTGTAGGAAAAAAAATAAGACCAGGAACCAACATAAACAATAGCTTGCAGAATCAGATCTCAAAAGACTTAAAATATTGGAATTACCAGAGTGTAAAATATTAATATATTCAATATATTTAAGGAAAAAAAGAAGAAACTTAAAATATGAGAACAAGAGTGTTTATAAAATGATAAAGTTGATTTGACAAAAAAAAAAAAAATAGAACTTCCAGAATTGAAAAATAAAATATTTGACATGTAAAACTCAATGGATGAGTTGATACAACCACTTAAAAAAAAAAAAGCTCACGAGATTCCTTCAACAGCTGAAGAAAAACTTAACTGTTAGATGTGTAGAAATTATCCAGAATGTCCAGAAACCTAGAAAATATGAGTTATGAAGCGAGAGAGAGGACAGTACTTGTTTGGTTTTTGTTTATTTGTTTTTCTGAGACAGGGTCTCACTCTTATGCCCAGGCTGGAGTGCAGTGGCGTCATCATAGCTCACTGCAACCTCAACCTCCTGGGCTCAAAGCCATCCTCCTGCCTCACCCTCCCCAGTTAGCTGGGACTACAGGCACATGCTACCACGCCTGGCTAATTTTTCTATTTGCTGTAGAGATAGGGTCTCACCCTTGCTTAGGCTGGTGTCGAACTACTGGCCTCAAGCGATCCACCTTGGCCTCCCAAAGTGCTAGGATTACAGGCCTGAGCCACCACACCCAGCCTTATTTTAAGAAAATAAAGTGTACTTGAGGATTTGTGGGGGTAGGGAGAGTGACAAGGAGGATGGAGTAGGGAGGTCTAATAAGCATTCCAGTAGGAGCTGGGCACTCCACAAGTAAACGCTAAGGACAAGAGTTTTAGGTTTTCTGGACACAATCTTTTCATAGACCATGTACAATAGCATAAAAATATCAAATACTTAAAATCAATCTAATAAAAAAGAGCATCTTAGGCCGGAGGATTGCTTGAGCTCAGGAGTTTGAGACCAGCCTGAGCAAGAGCGAGACCCTGTCTCTACTATAAACAGAAAGAAATTAGCCAAACAACTAAACATAGAAAAAATTAGCCGGGCATGGTGGCGCATGCCTGTAGTCCCAGCTACTCAGGAGGCTGAGGCAGGAGGATCGCTTGAGCCCAGGAGTTCGAGGTTTGATGCCACGGCACTCTAGCCCGGGCAACAGAGCGAGACTCTGTCTCAAAAAAAAAAGGGCATCTTTGTGAGAAAAAGTTTATAACTTTATTGACAACATTAAATGGAGAAATATACCACGTTTGTGAGAATTGAATTTCATGTAGATGCCGATTTTATCCGAACTGATCTATAGGTTCAGTTGAGTTCCATTTATGATCTCAAAGGAATTTTTATTGGTAGAGCCTGACAAGCTGATTCTAAAATTTACATGGAAGAGCAAAGGCCAAGAATAGATCTTAGTGGATGTTTCCCAAAGGAGACGGGTCAATAAAATGAGCAGTGGAACAAAACAGAAAAGTTAATCGTGGCATATACAACGGGTCACTGGACAGCCGGGAAGGGAACACCTACAGCTGCATGCAGTAATTTGGGTACATCTCAGAAACACAGTATTGAGTGAAACGGCAAGTCACAGAAGAACAAACTCGGCATGATTTCATTTACATAAAATTCAAAAACATGCAAAACCAATACAAACAGAGGTAATACAACTACAGAGCAAGAGAATGAGTGACAGGACAGCATCTCCCCTACCCAGGAGGGCACAGCAGGAACTTCGAGGAAACAGTAACTGCCTCAAATGGGGTGGGGGATGCTGTTTCTCTTTATTTTGTATCTCCTCACTAATGAAAAGGAAAAAAATGAAAACACGATATTCTGGAGGGTAAGGTGTGGGAGAGGACGAGTCTGCTAATGCTTGTGTGTAGCGCACAGCGCCAGGCACACACACCAAGTTCTTACTGTTAAAAATAGTACCAGAGCCTGCCTTTTGGACGGACAAATGACGGAGAAGCTCAAACATCCGTGGCCACGGCAAAGCCTGTCAGAGGATGGGTTCCTCTGGGGGGGTCCGTGGGGGACAAGCCTGCCAGTTCATGGGAGGATACCCCAGCGGTATCTGGGGACTTTCATCTAACCCCATTTTTGGTCCAGCCCCTCACCCCTACCCTCCCCAGTGCCCCTGAGACCCAGAGCTTCTCTGGTTCAGTTTCTCCTTCAATAACCCCAGCCCCACAACGGGAGGGGAGCTGCTTGGCTGCGGGCTAGGGCGGGCCTGGAGGGAGGGGCACATCTCCTGCTCCCTATACAGACTTCCCACTGGTCCACGCAGTTGCCAGAGCCTCACCTCACCTTCCGTGGTCCTGGAATTCCTGAGCCTCTCCGGGGTGCTGGGGAGCAGTCTGCTTGCCTCTCGGCGCCCGCGTTGGGAACGCACAATTTCAACTTCTAATGCCCGGCTAAGAGTAAATAAGCCTCCATCCACTTTCCGTCTCTCCAAACGTTGTCAGGCACTTTGGTCTACTGCTGTCTCCTCTCCTGTTTTCTTTCCCCTTGTAAGTATTTATCTTTTTTATTTCTTACTGTCATTTTGGTGAGATCCTAAGGGAACTAGAGAACTCGTTAACTGGCAGTCTCTATTTACTGTATTTACATACAAATGTTTAACAAGTAGCTCCTGGGAGCCCAGACAGGAGCAGGCTCCTCCTCTCACACCCCTTCACAGATGCCTGGACATCCCCAGCACAGTTCCTTGCCTTGACTTTTCCTGCTCACTTCCTTCAGCTGTGCAGGGGTGAAGGCGAAAGCACAAAAACCTGGCTTCAAATCCCGCCTGGCTCCGCCATTTACTAAATCATGATCTTATCAACTCCCAGAGCTTTAAGTTTTTCACTCACAAAATAAGGAGCACAATTGTAGTAGGTTAGCTAAGAAAGGGTCCGTGACACTGCCGTTGCAGAAATGCTGCTCACTATAAAACGCTGCACCTGCGAAAGAATGTTGGATTCCCATGGCCTGGGTCACGAGGACGCCTCCACCTGGCCCCTCAGACCCTCGGACATTCTGGGGTTTCTAGGCCTGACAACCAGAGGAACCAGAAACAGCAGCCCCAACAACAAAGTGAGGGGCCAGAAACCCTGCAAAGATGGAGGCGGGGAACCAAGTGTGCACTTTATTAACCTGGCGAAGGGGCAGCTAGGCTGGCCGAGCAGCCCTGCCACACCTCTGCACTCCTCAGCCAAAAGGCAGAGTCGCAGGGCCCAAGCCCTGGACACACAGGAGTCCAAGCTGGGCAGAGGCAAGGCCAGGGAGGGGCTGGAGGCGCCAATGCAGGCATTACAGGCCAACCGACTGCCCTGCTGAGTCTGGGGCTGGGCCCCCTCCCCCTCGGCCCTCCCTGTACAGTTCTGGCTCTTCCTGGAGTCAGGAGGCCACATCAGCTTTGGTTTGGAAGGTGATGCCATCCCCAGGCAATGGGGAGGCCAGGAAAGGCCAGAGCCACACGAGGACCCAGCGGGGCCCCAGGGCTGCCTGCAGGTTGTGGCAGGGGCCCAGGTCATAAGAGTGCTGGCCCCGAGCCCACTCCCACGTGGTCTGGCCCCGCAGCAGCAGCATCCCGTGGAAGAGCAGCCCAGCCCCACACAACAGCGCGCCCACCACGCACGTGTCCGTCACGAAGGCCAGGGCGAACTGTGCCAGAGACACTCTGCCTGTGAGGAGAGAGCAGAGAGGGTCAGGTGGCAGAAGTCGGGCCCAGCCCTTCCAAAGCCCAGCTCCCGCCCTCCTTCCACCCGGCACCCTCCTTCACAAAGCAAGGCTCATTCCTCCGCCCAGCAAGCCCTGAGTCAACACTTGGTGGCCAGCCCGCGCTGGGTGACAGGAGCACAGCAGTGAACCGGGCCGACTCAGTCCCTGCCTGGCATGCCACTTCATTCTCGCATCGCAAACCTGGCGAGCACCTGGCAAGTGCGGGCCGCGGTGCTGGGCGCCGTGAATGCCAGGATGGATGTGGTCGGCGGCATCTCTGCCCTCCGGAAGCTCACAGACTAAATTTAAAAGCTCATTTCTCAGTTACTCAGTTACAGCTGTGATGTGTGTCACCATGGAAAGGAACAGCATCTTGTACCATCTTGGCCCACAGTAGGCAACAAGCACCCGCGGAACTAACGAACTACGAGACGCCGTGAACCTCATGCTAAGTGAAAGAAGCCAGACGCTGCCGCTTATGTGAAATGTCCTGAACAAGCAAATCCGTAGAGACAGGAAGCAGATGAGTGGTTGCCTGGGGCAGGAGGGATCAGGGAAGGATCAGGAGTGACTGCGAATGGATACAGGGTTTCTTTTTAGGGTGCAAATGTTCTGGAATTAGAAAAGGGTGATGGTTGCACTGCATGGTGAGTTTACTAAAAGCCACCGAATTATACGCTTTAAAATAGTTTAAATGATGTTTACATTATATGAATTTCACCTCGATGAAAAAGAAAGCCCACGGGGGGAAATGCCATGCAAACTTAAGCGGGTAGGGAAAGTGGCCTCATCTATTTTGATAAAGCGAGAAAACACTCTGCTTGACGTCCGGAGGCAGGACAGAGAGGCGCCTGGGACACAGCGAGTGGACAGTGTGCGGGTCAGGAAGCGCAGGGGACAAGCCAGGCTGCACCCGCAGGTCTGCAAGCAGTGGGTCCATGGGCGGCCAGAGTGTGTGGACGAGAGGAGAACGGTGCCTAGACCTGAGCACCAGGCAGTCAGGTCCCGATTTTTATCAGGGCTCAGACAAAAGAAGAGAAAAGGAAACTGGAAAAGGCAGCGGGCACGCCCAAGCCAGTGACGCCAGGGGTAGGACGCTTCGTGGAGGTTGTCGGGTGGCAGTTTTGAGCGTAAAAGTCCTCATGAAGCGAGAACTCAAAAGGTCCTGCAGAGAGAGTCTGGGGAGACAGCGCTGGGAGCCGCGGCGGGCTGGGAGGAGGGTGGGCAGAAGCCGGGCCGCAGCAGGCGGAGGGCCGAGGAGCCGGCAAGTCCTCGGGGAGGCGCAGGGCGAGCGGGTGAGAGCTGGGGGACGGTGTGAGGGAAGGGACGTCTGCACAAGGCGGGGAAGCCACAGTGGAGCCGGAGCCAGGAGAATGGCAGACGCCACGGCGGAGGCCTCCAAGCCGGGAGGGCCCAGACACGAGACGCTGGGCAGTCAGCCAGGCTTGGAGACGTGAGGACAGAACGATTTTGGATGCACCATCTGACGTCTTGTTTTCTCCGTGATGGAGGTCGGAGGGCAGGAGAGTAGGGAAGGTTTGAGCTGCAGTCATGGGGGAAGCAAGCTTACGAGAAAACAGGGTGGCCATGCACAGCGGAGGGCCTGTCGAGATCAGCAGCCACGAGTGTGGCATGGGACCAGCCTGCCTGGGAGTATCACGTGTCTCCGGCCGCTCTCAGCAGCCGGGGCAGACACAGAAGCCAGGGACGTCTGAGAGGCCGGCAGGAGAGCAGTGAGGTGAAGGGCTCTGCTCGGACGCGGGGTGGCGAAGGCAGGAGGGTGCGGGTGGGAGGGGAGGGCCGCGGGCCTGCGGGCCCAGAGCGCACGGAGCAGGTGTCACGGAGCGCAGGAGTGAGGGGCAGGCAGGAGAGGAGGTGGGGGCCAGAAAGAGGGCCAAATGATGGGTGCTTTGGGGGGTGACCCGTTTTTGGCTTCCAACAAAGGCTGGGGTATAGACAAGGGAGTAGGGGAAGGAAGTCAAGAGCTGAGCCACCGGGGCACTGACGGGGCCATTCACACAGACTCTCAGACACCCGTGATTTCAACAGGGCCCAGGGCGGAGGGAAGCCTTGGAGCTGGGGCCCGAGTCTACGTGGTGGGGGAGTGAGCGGGAGGCCATGATGACCACAGCGAGGTGGGGTGGACGGGGGTGCAGCCAGAGACTGGGACTCAGTGGAGACAGGAGCCATCGAGCAGGGCGGAGAGGGCTGGTCAGGGAGCCAGTGTGGACAGAGGGGGCTCTGTCCACCCCAGCAGGGCTCCTGAGGCCTCCCCCCAGCTGCAGGGTGGGGGCCTGGGGACAGAGCTGGGCTTGGACAGGACGAGGAGGAACAGTGACCACATGGAGTGGCTGGGGAGGTTAATGACGGCAGAAAAGTCACGGGGGGGACCACGGAAGGGTCAGGAGGAAGGAGCCAGGGGCGAGAAGGCCCAGAGCATCCAAGGGGAGAGAACACAGAGTACGAAGGACCAGTGGGGCTTTTATCTGGGGTCACGTCAGGGGAAAGAGGAACATATGTGTGACCGGAACACGGCATCTCAATCAGCCTCCTGACCCAAGTCTTCCCCCTCCAACTCCTAGTGACTGTGCCTTCCCCCCGTCACCTTCCCTGGCTCCCCACTGCCCGGTCAAGTAGGCGCCGTCTCCTCCACCGGCACTCAGGGCCTCTGCCAGCCAGGGCTGCCTACCCCCCTAGCCTTAATTTTCACAACTCCCACCAAACTGCCTTCGCTGCTCCCTGCCAGCCTCCAAGCCTTTGTTCATGCTGTTTCCCTCACTTAGAATGGCCCCCGGAGTGCTCTCCCACCAGCCCACCACCCCCGCGGACTCCACGAGTCTTTCCTCCCCTGCCAACCACTCCTGGAGTCTTTCCCGACTCTCCTAGCCGCCGGAACTCTGCACTTTCTGGAGGCGCCGTATGTTACCATGCAGCACGCCCAGCTGAATTCCAGGCTGCCCTCCCCCCCGTAAATGACACTGGGACTGGGTCCCCAGGGCCAGAAATCTCATCTCCCACCAGAATGGGCCTCCTCCCCCCGCCCAACACGCGGGCCTCTGCCTCTGTGCCAGGCCTCCTGGGCTCCCCACCTGTGAGCAGCATGAGCCAGGGAAGCAGGAGGAGGGCGGCGGTGTGGAGCGGCGTGTGGGCTCGCAGCAGGGCCGACAGGGCAGGGCCCAGCAGCACGGAGATGTGGAGCAGGACGCCAGCGGCATGAAGCAGCAGGCACAGGAAAGGCCGGTAGTTGCCGAAGCCCACGCAGCGGCCCAGCAGGCGGCAGTGGTGGTCCCGACGCAGGATGCAGACTCGGCAGGCAGAGCAGTGCCCACTGCGCGGCGGCACCTGGCTTTGGCACTGGTAGCAGTAACTGCAGGAAGGAACCACAGGGTCAGTTCCCTCAGCAGCTCAGAGTGCCCCATACCATGCCCAGGGGCAGCCCCGTCAGGGTCTTCACAGGAAATGCAGGCGCAAGGTCCCAGGCCCTTCCAGCTGTAGCACCGCAGGTCCAGGGCTCTTCCAGCTCTGACATTCCCTGTGGCCACTAACATCCAGCAGCAAACGTCTCCCTTGCTCCGCAGTCACCGCCTTGTCACAGTCGGTCACCATGACCTCCCCTCTGGATTACTGCGATAGCCCCTGCACTGGTCTCCGATTCCACCTTTGCCCCCCTAGTCTCTCCCCAGCAGCCAGACGGATCCTTTCAAACCCTAAGTCATGACCCTCCTCTGCTCAAAACCCTCCAGTGGCTCTCCATTTCATTTCTAGTAAAAAGCAAAGCCTTCAATGCCCTGTAAAGTCCTCATGTCGCTGACGCCTCTTCCCCTTTCTCACTCCACTCCAGCCACACTGGCCTTCTTGCTGTTCCAGGAACATGCTAGGCACACAAGTGCCTCAGAGCCTTTGCATCATCTGTTCCCTCTGTCTGGAACACTCTTCCCTCGGATTCCCACATGGCTAACTCCTCCACCACCTCCAAGTTTTTGCTCGAATGCCTGCTTCTGAATGAGGTCCACTTATTTATTTTTATTATTTTTAAAATTAATTTATTTTTTAAAAAACTTTTTTTTAGAGGTGCAGTCTATGTTGCCCAGGCTGAAATGCAAGGACTATTCACAGCCCCGATCACAGCACACTGCAGCCACCGACTCCTGAGCTCCGGTGATCTCCAGAGCAGCTGCGACTACAGCCCTGCACCAGCACACGCGGCTTACTTTCTCCTTTTTAATTATAAATTGACAAATTATAGTTGTATATATTTATAGGGTATAAAATGATGTTATGACTCATGAATACCATGTGAAATAATTAAATCAAGTTAATTAACATATCCCTGGCCTCGAATACTCATCATTTTTTGTGATGAGAATTAACCACCTATTTAAAACTGAAACTTGCACCCCCAAGTTCCCTGCTCTACTCTTTGTTTCCACACCACTGTCACCTTCTAACATTCTATATAATTTGCTTATTGTTCCTCTAGGTTAGCATCTTCTCCCTCCCCTCCCCCACTGAAGTCAGCTCCAGGTCAGGAATCTGTTTTATTCTACCCCCAGTGCCTGGAACAGCACCTTGCACATAGTAGGTGCTTGATAAGTATTTGTGAGTGAATAAATAATATTCATTCTCCATCCCAAGTTCTAAAGGAATTTCTGGCTCTAACAACCCGATCCTAATATAGCCTGGTTCCAACGTCTCAGGTCTTGAGGCCCCTCCCCCTGTCCGAGGCGCCCGCTTCTCCCCGCCGGATCCCGCGCCCCACTCACGCCCAGCCCTGGCCCAGGCCGCGGCCGGCCAGCATCACGCCCCGGATGCTGGGATCCGAGCGCAGGAAGAGCCCCACGTTGCCCAGCAGGTTAAGCAGCTGGAAAGCGGCCAGCGCGAGCTGCAAGGCCCGGGCCAGGGGTCCCAGCGGGGGCGGCCCGGGACCCAGCACCAGCACGTAAGCCAGCTCCAGGCCCACGGCCGCGGCCCACAGCGCCGTGAGCACGAGAGGCAGCCGCGCGGGCGCCCCCTCCGCGACCCCAGCCGTCCAGGGCTGCCCCATGGCCCGGACGCACCGCCTGTGGGAACCCCAGGGCCCCGCCGCTTCCGCGTTGGGGCGGGGATAGCGGCCGACGGACGTCTGCCACGACCAATAGGAGCTCTGAAGGGGTGCGGAGCGCGCTCAGACTCCAGGGGAGCGGCCGCAGATGCGGAGATGTGACGGAACGGTCTTGGAATCTCATTGGCTCTGGAGCCGGAGTCGCAGAGCAGTTATGGCCCCGCCCACCCGCGGAGGCCACGTCCCTCGCGCCGAAGCCCCGCCCGCCGGAGCCGCTGGCTGGCGCGCGCCAGGGATCGAGTTGCAGCCGCGGTGGCGTCGGGGTTCCCGGCTCAGCACATTCTCCCCCAACCCTGCCTGGCCGCCCCGATATTTATAGCCCTGCTCCGGCCCATCCAGCTGGCTCAGAGCCGTTCCCCATGCTCGGGTGTCTCCCTTCATCACCCCAGAAAACATTCAGAACGGCTCGGCGCCTCCGTGTTTCTGACTGTGAAATGGGGATGCGGCGCTGGAACAGGGTCGGGAGAGCCAAAGCTCAGCCTCCGGGGCGGCCGGCAGCCACTCTTATAAACGTCATCTCCATTGTACAGAGGAGGAAACAGACTCAGAGAGGGCCTGTGGTTTTCCCAAGGTCACACAGCGCCCAAGCGGCGGAGCCGGAAGGCGAACCCTTGATCTCCGCTATGAGATCTACCCCAGGGCGCCCAATTCCGCAGTCTCTGGCCCCAGGTCAACCTCTTGCCTGGTCCCGACTCAAGCTCCCTCACCCCTGTCCGGCCCCTCCCTCCTCCCCCATATTTAGTGCGAATTCGATCCGGGGCTGGGCCAGGCCCTACTTAACGGGGACCGGGTGTCCAGGAGCGCGCGGAGCGGAGCCAGGAGCCGGAGCAAGATGATGATGGTTATGCAGCCCGAGGGTCTGGGGGCCGGGGAGAGGCCCTTCATGGGCGGCGGCGGGGGTGGCGAGTACATGGAACAGGAGGAAGACTGGGACCGCGACCTGCTGCTGGACCCGGCCTGGGAGAAGCAGCAGCGCAAAGTGAGTGCTCGCCCATTTCCTGACAACAAGACTGAGGCCTGAGAGGCCAGGCGGTTTGTCCTGGGCGTCTCAGCAGGTCAAAGGCAGAGCCTGTCTTCAACCTAGACTGCCAATCCCCAGCCCAGGCTCTGCCCATTGGCCCTCTGCTGTCCCCCAAGGCTGGAAGGAGGGCTGGGAGCCCTCAGGAGAGGTCTAGAATGACAAGGGGTTTAGAATGAACCCTCGCCCCCGGATTCATTCCCCTGGGCCCACTGTCCCTCCCACTCCTGCTGGTGAAGTGAGAGGGACAGGGAAAACGGGTTGGGCAAAGCCCGAGATCCAAGTTTGGGGGTTCAGGAAGAATAATCTTTCTCCCCACCGCTCTCTAGTTAAATATTCCCAGACCCCACCCTGAGGGCCTGCAGCCAGGCAACCAGTGAACTTGGGAGAGTGGGGGACAGGGGACCATCTCAGACCCCATCCCACCCTCTCCTCCGTATTCTTTCCAGGGCAGGGTCCATAGTCACTCTATCTCGTTTGACAGTTGAGGAGACTGAGGCCCAGAAAGGGGCAGAGATAGACCCCAAATCATACAGTGTCAGAAAATAGGACCCCCACAACCTGAGGCTCTTGGTCCCTTGTCCCACCCCCACTCTTTCCCAAGATACCCCTCCCCATCTCAGGGGCCCTGAGTCTGCTGAAAAGGCCACAGGTCAGGGAGGAGGGGAGCCCTGGGTTCCCTTACAAAGTAACCTGACTCTCCAGCCAGATGGGCACTTGGTGCTGAGGCAGCACCTTGGAGGAGCTAGAGAGGGGCACATGGGCAGCTGCTGCCCAGGCCCAGCCCACGGGGCATTCAGGCCTCCGCCCTGCCTGAGCTATTTTCACTCCCAGCCTTTCCAAGTGGAGGGGAGGACACCGGGCTCAAAGAGAAAACGATCCTGGGCGGAGTGAGAAAAGTTTGGAGAGTGGCAGGCCAGGGTTAGGGAGGGCACCATGAGGTCACCGGACCCTGCTCAGCAGCTGCCAACAGTGTGGGACTCCAGGGAAGCGCAGGGCACCGGGGTGCTCGGTGGAGTCTGCAGGCTCTGAGAATCCCAGACTTTAGAATCAGAGCACTTCCCTTCCGCTAGGTTAGATGACAGAGATGACTCCAGGGACCAGGAGGCTCAGCTGACTCTGCTGGGGTGCCCCGGGTGACACACTTCCCCCCAGCCTCCTCCTGCACCTGTCTCCAAGCAGGGCTGCGGTCCTGGGTTTGGCAGTTTCCTGGTGATGTCACCCCTGTCCCTGGCTGCAGCTGCCACCTATTCTGCAGTAACTCCTATTCTCACCCCCACCCACCCAGGCGTCGCCCAGATCCAGGTCTGCATGCCCCTCATATGACACATGCCAGTCTGTGACCGGCCTTTGTCACGTGACAAAATATCAAGAACATCCTTTCTTCCCGACTTACAGCCGCCCATCTCATTCGTCCGTTCAGTAGCGGCCCGGCACCAGGCTCTGTGAATCAGCCAGCTTCCCCTGTGGCTGGACATTTGGGTCATTTCTTTCTTGTCCAGCACCGTTTACAAAAGGTGATAATAAACGCGTCCTGTGGGCAGCTTTAGCCCCGCCTCACCCCTGCTCTGCAGTGCTCCCTTTCTCCCCAGTGACTCCTCCTGCCAAGAGCCTCCCTCACACAGTCTTGGAGCACTCTGGCCGCCTCCACCTGACGCCTGAGTCCTCTTCATTCAGCCTCATGAAAGCATGCGTTTAATAACTATTTCTTAAGGAGGCCTTACTGGCCGGGTGCAGTGGCTCACGCCTGTAATCCTAGCACTTTGGGAGGCTGAGGTGGGAGAATCGCTGTAGGCCAGGAGTTCAACACCAGCCTGAGCAACACAGCGAGACCCCATCTCTACAAAATACAAATTAAAAAAAAAAAGAAGGAGGTCTTACTGTGTGCCAGCACTATTTTAGGTGCTGGGGTTCAGGAGACAGTAAAGCTCCTGCCTCAGGGAGCGTACATTCCAGAAAGGACGAATGTTTCCATCTCGTCCACCTGATCCCGCCTGTCCCCTCACTACCCGCTTCCTCTCTGGCCTGGTCCTCACTGCTCCGCCCCAACGTCTGTCTCCACTCTGCAACAAACAAACTTTCTACAACACAGTTCTGCCCATCCCCTCCTGCCTGAGGCTTCCCTGACTCCCTGTTGCCCTCAGGATCAAGTTCGAAGTCCCAGGCTTAGCACCCAAGATCGCGCATGACCTGGCCCCTGCCGCCCCTCCGGCCGCCTCTCACCGCTTACACCCAACACCCCCCGCTTCATTCCGGCTGTGCCCAGATAGCTGGAGTCCCGCAAACTAGCACCTGCTTCTCACTGCCGAGCACTTGCCCGAGTGGCTGCTCCTGCCCGCAATGCCCTTGCCTGCCCTTCCCTCCCCAAGTAACTCCTCCTCTTCCATCACAGCTCCCACCACGTTAGCCTCCCCGAGGGACCCCCACCCGATCTGGAGAATCCCTCCCATAGACTCCTCAGCACGTCGCTCCCAGCACTTCTCAGACCAACATGACTCTTTATTGGCTGTGAGCTCCTTTAAGACAGAGACCACATCTCATTGAGTCATGTTTGGCCCCACCCAGACCTGCCCATCCCCCTGTCCTTTCTAAACCCAGAGCATCTCAGACTCCGGGGTTGGAAGGAACTGCAGAAAATCCAACTGCCTTCTCTGGTGCTTGGGTCCCCATCAAGTAGTACTCAGTTACCCACTTACATACCTCCAGTGATGGGAAGCTCACTCCCTTGCCTTAGCAATGACAGCCTCTCAAGTATTTAAAGCATCATATTCCACGTCCAGATCGCAGACCTCTGCAAGCTGGCCTGAGGAAGGAAAGCTGGCTGAGGGACAGGATTCCAGACGGCCTTCAGGGCCACCTCCCAGGAGTATCTACTTCGTGCTGGGGGAATGCTCTGAATTCTAGAATCCTGCCAGGTCGGAGGAAGAAGGACCTGACACAGCATGGATTCTGACCCCTTAACTGTACAAATGGGAGCCCAAGCCCCAGAAAGCGCAAGGGGCTGACCTGAGATCACAGTGAGTAGCTCAGCTGGGACTAGAGGCCACCTGTGGACTCCGCCAAGAACTTCACAGCTAATGGCAGAATTCAGGGCCTGAAGGCTTGGTAGGTTAGCAGAAACCTGTGCACCAGGCTCCGGGTCACCCCATCCCCAACAGACACACAGCCCTGTGCCACCCCTCCCGTCTCAGCAGGAGGCTGAGGCTGAGCCTGAGGCTGACTACGGGGAGAGGAGGCGAGCAGTCACTCCCCAAAATGAGGTCAGGCTGGGCCCGAGTGGCTGGCTGGTCCTCTACAGCCTGCAGAGCGCTTTCACACTCAGGGTCTGCTTGGAGGCCAATTTACAACTGCCTTGGGAGGTCGGTGAGCTGAGAGAATAATAACACAGGTTCACAGTTCCTTAGGCAAAACCCTCAGAGCCAGGTGTGCTTTCATCCAGAATTTTCCGGTTTTAGAAAGGCAGTATCATCCTGCACTAGCCCCTACACCTGAGAGCCCCATATTTGGGAATATGTTAAAATTTTCTAAGTCTCCCTCCAGTGCTGAAGACCTGCCAAGGCTGGTGTGCCGGTGGCAGAGTGCCCCAAGTCCAAACTGGGACGTGCATGGGTCCTGGATCCCACTTCTCCCTCCCAGGAGAACTAGAGCTCAGAGAGGGAAAGAGACTGGCCCAGGATGCACAGCAAGTCAGTGGCTGAGCTGAGACTCGAATCCAGAGCCTCAGGCTCTAAGATTTGCCCTGACCAAGGAGCCAGGACTGTGGCCCACATCCCCCAGACACAGTCCTAGGGTCTGAGCGCTGTCTTCTGCCCCCAGACCTTCACTGCATGGTGTAACTCACACCTGCGCAAGGCGGGCACCCAGATTGAGAACATCGAGGAAGATTTCCGCAATGGCCTCAAACTCATGCTTCTCCTGGAGGTCATTTCAGGTGAGCGGTGCAGACCAGTGTACATGGGCCCTAGACCCAGGGGACCCGGAGAGCTGGGGGAACAGGGCAGCAGAGAGCTGGAGGGGACTTGGGGCAAGGGGGAGATTTGGGGGACAATGTCTTATGACCTTTGACC